GACCAGTTTGACCATTTGATCTATTTGACCAGACCAATTTGACCAGCAAATTTTTGCTTGACCATTGATTTACCCAATACTGATTATCATGTATATAATAATAATGCATCAATATCTGTTAATTAGTTTATAATTAATCTTTATAAAATAGGTCAAAAAGAGTTATTATATCAATCACAATCACTTAAATACAAAATTATATGTTGTCTGTGCAAATCCAAGCTAGTGGCAAATATCTTTTCATCTATATTACATGTTTTTTTTGTTTTTTTTTTATTGAACCCTTCTGAGGGGATGCCAGATGATGTATTTTATTTAATTCTGTTATATATATATAGTTATATGATTAATTACTTATATTACCTATTGTCCACCTACTATTTATTAAAATTATGTATGTTTGTTTCTATTATTTTGTCCGTTTTAATATTCTGAGCTCCTTCTCAATTCTATTCCTAACAACTACAAGAAGCGCAGGTTCCAGTATTGGTGTCCCTTCCTATCTAATTAGGTATAACAAAACCAAACCTCATATAACATGTTAATGTGTAGCCAATGCGCTATCCTCTTCTTACTCTCGTCTTTAATATTCGATGCTGTAATGATTTCCTCATAAGTCCTTGGAGAGGTCTCACCTGGGCTTATATGTGAGTATACTGTTTCCCATATAATTTTACTGCATTTACAGTTAACTCCAAAATGTTTATTAGTTTGGGTTTCTTTATAACATATTGAATAGTCACTATTGTCATTTAGTAATATATGCTTTAGTCTATATCTTAATGGCAGCGATTTATGGCAGAAACGCCAAAAAATATTTTTTCACTTATTGTTGATACATTTTATTTTGGACCACCTCCAAAAGTCATTATTTACTCTACTCTCATTTTCTTGTTTTTGTATAATTATCAACTGTGACTTATTTTTTAAAAAGGAGACACCCTGTTCACCATGTACTTGTTCTCTGGTATATTAGCAACTTTGATATCTTCTAGTTTCTAGAGCCACGTCTCTGACCTTTTATTTATAGAACCTTCTGCCCTTTTCCAGGCTATAATATAAGATTTTCAGTACTCTGTCCAAGCTCTATTTTTTGATGATACTTCATTAAGTGCATTTAATACCATGATATTCCTTTTATTTTGCAACTCCACTCTGATTAGCTCTTGCCCAACAGTTGTTGCTTGTAAGTAATTTTATAAATATAGAAAGTAGTCTAGTATCTACTAAGTCCTTTAATATTAGTGCATTTAGTCCACCATATTTATATTCTTGTTGTAGGATTGAGTATCTCAAGAGGATCTTACAGGAATTTTGATCCAACCTCTTACAAGATTATCAATTTCTGTCAGTTGCTTTTTACTCAGGGGCGCAAGGTATGTAATATACCAAATTTTAGATAAAACCAATGTTTTGATTACTAGAATTCTCCTCTTGATAGACAAGCTATATAGTGATAATTTTCCAAGCATATTTTTAATCTTTAATATCATCTCTGGCCAAATTTTTTTGCTTATTTTCCCTTGCAAATCTAACTCATATCCTAATCTCTTACTGGCTCATTATCTGGTAGTATTTTAAATTTTTTTGTCTCGTGGTGTTCTATATGTCAGGCATTAGAAGTTAGTAAAACCAACACCGATTTAGTTTTGTTAATTTTCACATTGGATGCATCCTTATACTCCTGAATCATTTTGGCAACAATTTCCTATTCTGCATATGATGCTATATTTATTGTAAGGTCATCAGCATAGGCCGTTAACTTAAATCTTTGTTGACTTGAATGCTGATTTAATGCTATTCCTGTTAGGTTTTTCTCGAGTGATTTAAGGAAAGGTTTGAAGGCTAGTATATATAGGAGGAGTAAGAGTGGGTCACACTGCCTCACTCCACGTTTAACTTTGAAAGATTCCAATATTATTCCAGAGTCTTTTTAAATGCAGTTTGTTCTGAAAACAGCACCCTAATTGTTTGTATAAAACTTGGATCAAATTTCATCTTTGTCAGTATCTCTTGTAAATATATATAGCTAACATGATCAAAAGCTTTTTGCTGGTCTAGGAACAACATCCAGCCCTGTTGCGTTTGATCAAGCTGATTTCTCATAACAGACATAATGTCCATCATCAACTCCAAAATCAACCTTCCTCTGATAAAGCCTTGCTGATGAGAACCGATTATTTTTTGGCATATATTATTGAGACGGTTAGCTAAGATCTTCATAAATATTTTGATGTTGCAATTTGTTAGGGAAATGGGCTCCAATTTTGAACGTTTTCTAGATCCTCTGCTTTCTTTAGAATTAATGTTATCATATTTTTATACTACAAGCTAGGCATTTTGCCCTTTTTGATTACATCATTAAAAATTTTTTTAAATACTAAACTACTTTCTTCTATTAACTCTCTTGCATTAGAACAGACCTGCTATTTATCAGCTAAATTCGTAAGTTCATCTTGAAGATTTCTTTTTAGCCTTTCAATTACTAATTATAAATCAGATAGGTCTTTGTCTCTTGTGACTTTTCTTTCTAGTACGTTTATTTTTCTATTTAGCTTTTGAATGCTACTTTCTGGGCTTTAATATATTTTTTAACCCTAATTAATGACTGCATTTTATACTTGCAGTAATTCCACCCCTCCAAGTCCGTAACTATTTGTATTTCTTTCACAATTTCTTTCCTTAGAATCTCATTCTCCAGGCACTTATAATTTACTTTCCAATATGATGTTTGTAATTTATTTTTACTAAAATTCATCTCAGTTATTACCATAAGGTGGTCCGAGTTCCCGAACTTTGTATGCATCTTCTGACAGTACTGTGCATACTGTTCATCCACAAAGATATAATCCAACCTTGTGGCCAAAGTGTGCCCTCTTCTCGTCTTTTAGACATACGTGAGAAACAGCATTTGGGAGGTTTCAACTATCATGTCTACCATCCCACAGGCAAGTTCTTTGAGCTTTTCCTTAGATGGATCATTATGTGGTGTCATATAATTTATCCTGTTCATATCCGGGTCAAGATTCACATTAAAATCTCTTGCCACTATGTTAATTGCATTAATGTTTTTTTTTATTGACCAATTATCAAAAAATCATAAACTCTTATCTAGTGTCAGGGGTATATACATTAATAACCCGAAAAAAATGTTTTCTATATTGAAATTCCATGCTGAGTACTCTTTTCTGATGAGATTCTTCAGTATTTTCGAATTTGATGTCTTTATTTCTAGCCAAGATGTCTACTTTGAATGTCTATATGGAATCGTATCCCCACTGCTGTTTTACAAAGTTCCTTGTACTATCGTTGCTTAAATTTGTTTCCTATATTATAATCAAATCTATCTTATATGTCTTAAGTAAAGTTATTGTTTGTTGATGCTTATATCTATTATTAAGGCCCTTTATATTAAGTGTGGCGATTTTGAAAGTATTATACTTACTCATAATAGCGTATATATTAGATTATTTATACCTTCAGATTCATCTTTATTTATACCTTATGTTCTTTTGTTATGACTATTTCTAGATGGTCTATTGTTTTTATATGGCTTAGATCTACTATCGTATAAATGTGCGTTTTTCCTTTTTCTGGGCTTTTTGTGCATGATCGTTATAAATCCATCATCTACTTGTTTCACCACATTACTCTCTTTCACTTGTGTTTGCACATATTCATGATCAACATTCAACATATTTATACCTGTGCTCTTCTTAGCTTCTGTATCTGTTGATTTACTTCTTTTAGATCCAATTGGTCGTCTGGTCTATTTTGTTGTAGGTCTGTGCTCATTTCAGTTTGCTGTATTGTATTATTTGGTACTTCCTGCTGATTTTCTTTATTTCTATCTTTTTCTAACAAAGTTTTGAGAGATTTATTTTCCTGAGATAGCATTTCCACATTTTCTCCAGCTGCAATATCTTGTACCAAAACATCCAATCCCTCAGTGCTTTTGATATTCTGCTCTTTATTGGTGTTGTTTTTATTTAGATTATTACCACCTAACCTTTCTTGTTTATGTCTTTTGGCTTCCTTATATTTTTTATACTGTTTCTTTAGCTCTATTGCTTCTTTATATTGTTGCAGTCCCTTTGCAGGTGCCCTTGTTGATCGCAGTAAAAACAAGTTCTAGAAACCATCTTCTACTCTGTCATACCTTTTTGGCCCCATACACTTGTATATCTTAGAATTTTTTGTTCTAGTTCTGGGTCCTCTGTTGTTTCATATAAAATTATCCATTGGTCGGTGCAGACCTGGGTATCTTCGTACACTAATGGTTTAATCAATTTAATAGATTCAAAAACCTTAAAAGACGCGGAGGACCATTTATATGACAGTCAGACCCAACGTACAGGGCAGACTATGGAATCCTGCGCAGCTGTGAGAACCGAGCTTGAAACGGCGAACGACCTT